GGAGGGCGGGGCCACATTCTTCTTGTAGCCAATCACATGAGCCGCTCGCTGACTCTCCAGTTACTCTTATCTGATTGGTTCAATAAACACATCACACGCCATTAATCTTCATTTAGTTCAGGATCATTCTTGCTGTGGGAATGGTACTTTTAACATGCACATACAGTAAAAGAAAATAATTAAAAAATAACAGCTTAATTAAAACATGCTCCTTTCATAAGCTGTGTTCCTTTAGGCTAGACTCCCATGTGTTCATACTGAATTGTAATGGTACACAACTTATAAAATATCATGTTTTAATTAAGCTGTTATTTTTTAATTATTTTCTTTTACTGTATGTGCATGTTAAAAGTACCATTCCCACAGCAAGAATGATCCTGAACTAAATGAAGATTAATGGCGTGTGATGTGTTTATTGAACCAATCAGATAAGAGTAACTGGAGAGTCAGCGAGCGGCTCATGTGTCATATGTCGCACTGTACAGCCCTGTATATATACACACATATATATACATACATACATACTGTATATACATACATATATATACACACACACAATTATTATGATATTAAACAAATAAAAAGAACAGACTTTTCTCCCACAGTAAACAGAAACTCAGGCAGGTAAGTCAGATGCAAGTGACCCATATTCCTGTCAAACATTTAATGCCACTAGACAACATGGGAACCCTGAGGATCAGTCATAAGGCAGATGGACGAGGTAAACATTTGCCATTTCTTTAAATACTGGTATGACCGATATGCTGGGGAAAAAAGTAAATAAAATTGTTGTGCATTATAAATGTGCACTACACTATTTGAAATTCAATATCAGATTTAAATACAGTCTCCAAATGTTGTTGTTTACATATGAGATACTCTCCAAAATGGTGCCAGGGTGATGCGGAGACAAATTGTTGAATAAAGTCGTTATTTTTGTTTTCTTTGTGCACAAAAAGTATTCTCGTAGCTTCGTAAAATTAGTTGAACCCCTGATGTCACATGGATTATTTTAACAAACTCCTTGCTACGTTTCTGGGCCTTGATCGTGTTAGGATCCTTGCTGTCTATGGGAGGGTCAGAGAGCTCTCGGAATGCATCAAAAATATCTTCATTTGTGTTCCGAAGATGAACGAAGTTTCTTACAGGTTTGGAACGACACGAGGGTGAATAATTAATGACAGAATTTTCATTTTTGGGTGAACTATCCCTTTAACTCCGCTGCTGATTTCCTTGACAAGATTCCGTCTGCGGTTGACTCAAGAGTCCATGCAAGTGGAGGACGAGTCCACAGATGTTTGGCCTCAAACATCTCACATGCTGCAGTCTTATGAAAAGCTGGTCAAGCCAGACAAAAACACATGAAGAAGATGAAGAGATGATGAGCAGGTCATTTTCTGTGAAGCCAAGTGCCTGAATATGCAGTTGTATGTAATTCACTATTTCAATTGTGCAATCCTTAACTAGCATTTTTTAAATACATTTAATAAAAGATACATAAACACTGGAAAACAAAAACTTTTTTTTCAATTTTTTAAGCTATATTCTGAAATAAGTAGTACATTAAAGTTATTTTAATATGAACTTCTTTTCTATTGAAGAGATGTAATTTCTTATTGAAAAATTTCCATGTGTGCTCTTATGTTTTTTTTTGGAAGTGACTTCTAATTACATGTGTGGAACTGATTTTTAATTATTTGATTTATCTAATAAATTCAATTTGTAATTTTGTTAAATTCAAAATCAATAAATAATATTATTTAGTGGTTTATAACAATGAAGTGTGGTTAATCTGTTTTTATTTAAGTCTGTACATTTTTTTTATATGTTTATTTTACATACAAAATATAATACAAGGCAAGATTTGTTTGTATAAATTAAGGCACCAAGACATCCACAGTAACAATTCAACTCAACGACTGATGTGTCCTCTAGTGTTCGCCACTGATAATGGATCAAGTCTTTGTATTTTTCAAATACATCTTTGTAGTGTTTTTTATAGTCCATCAGTGCAGGTCTCGTCGCGTCCTTAATTCCTGAATCCCATCAAATTGTCGCAAATGGAAGCGACTTTCAGTGTGTCGGACCATTGCACGCAAGGCAACAAATCCAAAAAGAGCCTGAAAAAACCCACACAATATTCAGTGTTAAAATAAATTCCTTTAAAACATATTTAAATAATTATAATCTCATATCGATACAGAAATATATATAGATTCATACCTCTGCAAAAACAAATAAGGCCAGTATTATATGAACTCCTCTCTCCAGAGGTTGAATGAGAATAGCGTCATTGAAGAGCTGGAACAGAATCAGGGGAAACTGGAGCAGAAGAGTCAGAAGCCAAAATCCAGCCAATTCTGGAACCTATGCAAAAAAATTATTAGATGATTGGGGGAAATAATCATATTATATTATATACTTTAGGTAAACAAGGTTTATAAAAAGGTTTACCTTCTCTTGCAGATTTCCAACATTGCCCAGGTAGAGTCTGATGGCCTCAATCAGGGTCATTAAAATAAGAATTGTGATCAGGATGAACTTGTAATAATCTGCAAGGGCTGGGTACTAAAAGAAAAAGCTTAATTATTTATTATTAGCAGTAATATCCCAGAATATTAATAAGGTTAAACAGCAATAATCAGTCAGTGATTTCAGACTGAATTGCTTACACATATTAGGTAGAGGAGAATCACCTTTAGTTGTAGCATCACAACCTCGCTGATCCACCAGAAAGGAAAGAACCACATGTTAAAGTAAAGTGACATCTGAAGTGGGAGACTTGATACTACATCCTTATCTGGCGAATAAAGAACATTACAGTGATGAGAAGTTCGACTCATTTTTGCGAATCGGTTCTTTCGAATATTTAGTTTCTTTCGAACAGTTCGTATTTATGTCATCATTGTGTGTCTGTTATTTACATCTTTTGGCTGATTTTTTAAAATGCAAGTTTTAATTAAAGGCACAATACGTACTTTTCGCCACTAGAGGGCGTGTATTCAAAATAAACAAATAGACAAAGGCGTAGTTAGATGACGCTGTGACTGAGTGTGGAATCATGGGAGTTGTCGTCTTCTTCCCCACAGCCGGTGCAATCAAAACGGGACTCGGGCAGAAATCATGTTCATGGATGAGCTAATGATTTATTAATGTAGTAGTATGAAGCAGGGTGAGGCTGAAAGCCGTCGAAGCGTAACGAGGCCGCTGAACTCACTCGCACACACTGCTCAGATTAACCCGGTTTTGCAGTGTATGATGAGGAAGAAGGCAAATGATGTGGGTTTGAATTCTACATTCGTTATAATAAGTAATATGATCTATTTTGCAATCAAGATATGTAAAATTATGGAAGCTAATGTCCGCCACGGAATTAAATTGCGAGTTTAGGCCTATGCCTGACAATTTGGACGTTTCTTTTCAGATTTGCGAGTTAATTCTGACTTTCTTCTCAAAATTGCGAGTTTGTATCTCGTTAATCAGAGTTTTATCTTACAATTTTTCTGAGAAAAACGTCAGAGTTGAAAAAGGTCAAGAGTTGTGAGATATAAACTCAGAATTGCGAAAGAAAAAGTCAGAATTGTGAGATAAAAGTGCTGTGTGTACATTAATGAGGAAAAAAAATTAACTTAAATGATTTTAGCAAATGGCTGCAATATAACAAAGAGTGAAAAATTTAAGGGGGTCTGAATACTTTCCGTACCCACTGTATATTGATGTCCCGTGCCTGCTGGGTAGAAACATACTTCACATGCTACTATCAAGTTTTTGTTTTGTAACATGGCTTTTGTAGTCATTAAGACAGTAAGTCATATATCATAAAATAGCTTTATTTTTTTAATACATTTAAATTGCATTATTTACAGCTATTGCTCTACTCCGTTCAAAGTCTCTTGTGTAACGCCAGCATTAGGAAGTGCAAGGAGACGCCTCTAAGTTTGCTGGGAGTCAGACAAAAGGATATGAGAGAGCCTGAGCAGAGGAACAGGAGAGATGCAGATCTAAGCAAAAACAAAACAACTGGATTGATGTTGTCTAATGAGCACTTTAGCATCATGGAATTCATATTTTAGAAAGTGAATTTAGAATACGTACACGCTGGTGTCACAAAGGCCTCCGCCACTTCCAGTAAAATGTACTGGGGCGTAAGCTGGAAACAGGTCATAGAGAACACATGCAGGACCTTTCCTGATAATGTCTGCTCCACTTGTGGATAATCCTTCCTGTGGATTTCGGAGATCCCTGCCAGTAGTGCTGAGAGAGCTGCACAAGCATGACCCATAGCTGTAGGGAAATGTAGTTTATATAGCCAAATAGTAAAGATGCACTAGGTTTTATTTATATATAAAATTAACATAGAAACTGTTATTATATCATATCACTTTCTCTAATAGTAAGTAATACAGACCCTCTCATCTCTCAATAGTAAGGCAATCTCTGGCCTATCGTAGCCCTCGGACCGAGAGATATGATTGGACGAACATTTTATGGTCCTATGCTTTCCACAGATTATAAATACATTAGATCATGTAACTTAGTGATTGGTATCGGGATGAGAAGACACTTTCAACAAGCATAAGTGGGAATTTCCAATTGCACATGAAGGCAGCATGAGATGAACAAGAAGTTCATTAATTGTAGTTAGGATGCTCACTTATAAATGTGGCTGGTGAGGGCAGTATTTTCTTTGGAGACTGGTAGCAGGTGTTGAGAAGCTCCAGCAGTGGTGCTAAGATCAACACCGGCAGTATACTGATGACCTTCATCACTGCTACAGGCAGGAGAAAGCCATTGCGCTTTAAGTTGGAATGCATCGTCTGCAGATAATAGCCTGATGGGATCTGTTAAAAGACTTGAAATAAAGATATTACTGAAGCTAATTGCTGAACAAAAGTATAGATTTAGCCAAACATACTCACCTGGGTAATGCAAGCTCGATATAAAAGCTGAAGTCCAAAGAGAGGGAAAAGTTTGACTAGGATCTTGACATTTTCCACACTGGTCTCACTGTAACAACCCCCGTTGTTTTCCTTGGCACGGTCTAACCAGTTGGCAACATCTCCGCTTAAATGGCGATAATGGAGGCAGCACATTTTGAGAGAACTGAGGAACACTCCCAGCGTAGTTAGCAAGGAACTGCCTGTTAGTCCACAGACGAAAATTCAAAGTTGTTAAGGAACAGAAATCAGAACAATTGAACAACTGGTAATTATTTTTAAGAGAATTTATCTGTGAAATCATTGGACAAGAGATATATGTATTTCTGTGTATGTGTTATGAATGGCACTGTTACCTTTTTTTGGACGGAAAGTCAGCTTGTTGCGCACCATGTGAATGGCGATGAGAACAGAGGTGAAAGGGATGAGAAAACACAGGTTTTTGGCAACTGACTGCTGAATGTAGGCAATCCTCCAAAAAACAACTGTTGAGTTCAGGTTGACCAGCCAGTAAAACCTGTGGATTATAAACAGCTGCAGCATTTGTACCTATTGTACAATGTGTTTCAAATGTGCACTCAGTAATTTCTTCCTCATTTAAAACCTTTTCATTTCTCAAGAAATACAAAGTACTTTAAAAAAAATAGTGCTTCAGTTATAACCGTAGAAAAGCTATAAGCTTTTCCATGTAAGATTAAAGCTATTTTATCTTACATGGAGCGGGTCACCTCAAGGAGGCCACCATTTTAAGATCACATGATCAAAATATGAAAATAGATTTTAATTATGAAATATAATAGTTTATTTTTAAAAAACAGTTGCCAAATGCACAGGCTTTCTAGCATTAATATTATGCTACTATAGCAACAATTTAGCACAGTCCATTTCACAAACTCACATTTGAATTGTTTCATTTGACACACAAACTTCCCGCGCAACTAAGAATGCAGTTCCACTGAGTAAGCTAAAGCTTTAAAAGCTTTTTTTTTACGTTTAATAGAGGGCTAGATGATCATTTCACTGTAGCTATTGTTTGTTGCTGTTCCAGTTGATCTAACTTACCATTAAATTATGCGTTTGTTAAATGGGCCACAATGATTATGTGTTACATCAGTGAATCGGTCGCAATGAGCATTTTATAGTAGCCTAAAGCATGACAAATTTAAGTACTTCTGGTGGTGGCGGTAACATATTTTCGAATATGTTGGCCTATATTTTGTTTTATGTATTATTATTCAATACTCTGTCATCTCTATTTGCTAAGTAGCTTTTAGTTCACTCAGAACACGTTTTTTCAAACCACAAAAAACTAAAAGCCTCAAACCACATGAATAAGATGCTGGTAGCACAAATCGATAGTGAAAAATGCTACCTATCAGATTGTGCTACCAGCATCTTATTCATGTAGTTTGAGGCTTTTTTTAATGTCCATACCTACCCCTACCTTAAATCTACTTGTTCACACCTACTATATTTACAATGTAAATATATTTTTGGTAGCACAATCTGATAGGTAGCATGTTTCGTCGGTACACCGGCTCTGGCTAAATGCTGCCACTTTATCTCAGTAAACCTGTTTTTAGACACTTTTCCTCTCAAAATGAATGAATCATGGCGAATAGCATTTCTACAATGTAAACTGTAATATTTAGCTTTTTACATCCACACAACTAGGTGTCAGTAGTCTATAAGAACAAGACAACTGCATTTTCTACCAGTGAAACAAAATGCTGTATTGGCATGTAGAGAAAAATCTTTGTTCTGATTATATAATAATGGCCTTTTAGTATCTTACCAGTTGAAGAAGGACATGAGATGGCGTTGATCACAGCCTTGAAGGTGATAGGCTGCCATTGGGCAGAGGATGGCACGGATGCCGCCAATGCCAAGAGCTACAGCAACAAGCCCCGTGTAGAATAGTATGTGTTGCTCGTGAGGCTCAAGTCGATGCACGATATTATGTGTGTTTATATAGAAATCCTCAAAAGGGAATGCGACCACTGGAAGCAAGGCAGTTCCTATAAAAATGGATCTAAAACAGGAAGTCAGTTATCTAGTTTTTATGAACGCTTGATGGCAACTTTACATCCCCTGCGGAAAAGTCCAACAAATTGTTACTAGTCCAGGACCAAACTATCCTAAACCAGTCTGGACCAGCATAAAAATGAGCTAAGTTTGTCATTCAACAGGGTTTGTCATTTAGCAGTGGTTCTTAACCTCTTTTATTCCAAGGTCCTACACATTATTCCATGTAAGGTATCTCTGTAGTACTAATGACAAATCTGCTTGTTTTTAAACTTATTTGAATATATCTGAGTTTCTGTTAATAATTATCTATGATTAATTGTGATTACAGAACTTTTAGGAACTGTATAATCTTTAATAAAAACCAATATATAGAATACATTTGAAAATAAATGTTAAAATGTAAAAATAAGCAAATTTTTGTTTTTTTAATACAAAATAAAAAGGAATTATAATTTTTATTTAGATGTTACACTTTTAAAATAATTTTAATTTTGATATTTTAAAATACACTATGTTCAAATGTTTGGGGTTGGTAAGATTTTTTAAATGTTTTATTTATTTATCATATCTTTTTCAAATAAATGCTGTTCTTTTGAACTTTCTATTAATCAAAGAAATACTAAGCAGCACAACTGTTTTTAACATTGAAAACATATATATTTTGAGCACCAAATCAGCATATTAAAATTATTTCTGAAGACTCATATGACACTAAAGACTGAAGTAGCTGCTAAAAAAATTCACCTTTACCATCACATGAATAAATTACATGTTAAAATATAGTAAAATATCTAAATATATATGATATATATATCAAGCTGTAATAATATTTCACATTTCTGATTTACTGTATTTTCCCAGCAGGCACACAACGTCATAAGACATTTATATTTGGTTGCGACGTCGGGTGACCAAAATTCAATGTAAATTCAACCTCTAATGTCAATGTTAAATTGATGTCCAATACCGACGTCAGCTGACGTTGATATTTTGTTGTTTTTAGGTTGTGTAACCAAAATCCAATGTTAAGTCAACGTCAACCCGATTTTCATTTTCGACCAAAATGCAACGTCTGTCTGACGCATAAAAACATGGAGGTAGTGTCTGTGACGTCACCCTTAGATTTACGAAGAGCGTTTTTGAAGCTCAAAGTGGGCGGAGCAGGCTGTCGCCATCTTAGCAGCGCGTCACTCCCGGATAATCGAAAATGGGGAAAGAGGTGGGAGCAGGCAGCTGAAATCACGCCCACCTAGCTCGACGTGACAGCAGCAGCAATCCACACGTCACTCAAGTGGCCATGCCCTTAATTATGCAGAAATTTAAGGCTTAATATAATTTAAACGGATGGGTCATAAACAAATTCACCCCCCTCACAGTTGTCATGAAGGGCAAAATTAGCTATATAAACCAAAATAATTTTTTTGAACCAGGCTGTAAACGTTTTTTTCTGCTGTAAAGTTGGGCATTTTAACATGGGGAGTCTATGGGATTGACTCCCTTTTGCAGTTGATGAATTACAGTTTAAGTCACTTCCTTGTTGGCTTCACGAGAGAGCAGGAGGTTGCCGCTTGGTCTGACGTCATGTCCAGTGTCAACCTGACCTTACAGAGACGTCCGGTGCCTGCTGGGTTTGATTAAATAAATGCAGTCTCAAAAACATAAAAAAAAATACTACAGACTTGAACAATAGCGTAATTTAAAATGTAAATAGTTTTATTAAATAATTAATAATAACATTTGTCCTCTAGTGGACCCTGGGCCGCTGTTTGAGAACCACTGTCATATATATACCTACCACATAGTTATCCAAACAGAAGATCTCTTCAAATGAAAACGTCGTACAGATACATAATACTCAGCTCTCCAAATGAGTGACAGTCTGTTTCATTAGGCTAAATCCTGAACAAAACAAGTGGCTCTGAGTGTGAGGTAAGTTAGACGCTAAGTATAAATGTTATTTATACGTAGATATACCAAGTCTACCAAGGATTCATTACAGTGGTGACCACTAACCGAAAAAATGAAGTAGCACACAAAAACAGAGAACTGTTGTCCTTCCCAAACACGTCTCAGCAAACCATCCTACAAGAACCGGTGTAAGTACGCTGGCTCCTACAAAGCATGTGTTCACCATGACTGCTTGGTAACTGCTGTATCCCAGCTTGATGGTGCAGAAAAGGATCATATTGCAAACAATCCCAAAGAAGGTGAACCTCTCAAAAAGCTCCACGAAGAGTACCCAAACAATCACCTGCAGCTTCTTACGTGCCTTGCGCGGCTCGCTGACCATCCCACCGGGATATGAAGACATGCAGATCCCATGAGAGAGGTGGCCATCGTGTGTATCAACAGCATCTATGGGCGGCATGCTGCTTCTGGAGATCTTCCTGTGGAAGTGATGTTCAGACAATGCTGGAGCTCAATCTCCATTACTAGAGAGCTGGACTGGCAGTTCCTCACAAACATGTGAAATCTTGCCTAACAACAGAGCCTTTGCCAGCACGCCTAGGTTCACGTTTAGTGTCCTGACTGAGGTTTCTGAATAATGTTTACGCAATGCTTCTCCTCACTAATGTATTGAACTTCATCGGTCTCCGAATCTCATTAAGATGGATGACGTGGCGGCAGCGCGCAGAGCTACTGATGATGAAAGTGGTTTCAGAGATGTGAGACATACTTTTATAATGAATATTTTCGGAGAACCAGCGAAGGATATGCCATACTTGTGGAGAAAAGCAAGTTGAACTGGATTAGGTTTTGAAAACATTGAAATGATCATGAAATATATTCTTTTGTCTTGCAGTTTTATAAGGATTTAAGGATTTTTTTATGAGGCCAGGTTCCAGGTTTTAAAGGGATAGTTCACCCAAAAATGAAAATTCTGTCATTAATTACTCACCCACATATCGTTCCAAACTCGTAAGACCTTCGTGCATCTTCGGAACACAAATTAAAATATTTTTGGTTGAAATCTGAGAGCTCTCTAACCCTCCATAGACGGTCAAGGCCCAGAAACGTAGTAAGGACATCGTTAAAGTTGTCTATTTGACATCAGTGGTTCCACTGTAATTTTATGAAGCTACGAGAAAACTTTTTGTGTGCAAAGAAAACAAAAATGACGTTATTAACAATTCTTCTCCTCCACACATGCTTTCCTCTGAATGTAAACAAGGTACAGCGCATGCGTCATGATACTTTCCAAAATGGCTCCAGGGTGGCGCAGAGGAGAAGAATTGTTGAATAAAGTCATTATTTTTGTTTTCTTTGCTCACAAAAAGTTTTCTCGTAGCTTCATAAAATTACGGTTGAACCACTGATGTCAAATAGACCATTTTAACGATGCCCTTACTACCTTTCTGTGCCTTAACCATGGTGGTACCCTTGCTGTCTATGGAGGGTTAGAAAGCTCTCAGATTTCATCAAAAATATCTTAATTTGTGTTCCGAAGATGAACGAAGGTCTTACAGGTTTGGAACAACATGAGACTGAGTAATTAAAGACAGAATTAAAATTTTTGGGTGAACTATCCCTTTAATATTAGGACCAGATGCCCCTGGACCCTTGTGGAGTCGGCCCTGTATTTTTTAATGTTTGTTTATTTATTTAAATGGTGTGAAGTTGAGGGACATAATGATATGTCTCTCAAATCCATTTCACAAGCATGTATCAACGTGGTGCTAGCAAATTAAAAATAATTAAATAATTAAATACACAAGGTGCCGCTAGTATATAACACCCCACTGAATGGTGGCCAAGAGGCAGTGCCAAATTAGTCAGCAAGTCAGCACCGAAATCCCAGTCAGGCCCATCTTGATGTTTGTCTTTTGAGGTAAGATAGGGGATGTATTATTATTATTATTATTATAATTAGGCAAGGCAAGTTTATTTGTATAGCACATTTCATACACAATGGTAATTCAAAGTGCTTTACATAAAAGAAAAGAAAAAAAATAATCACAACAATAAAACAAGGAATTTGAAAATGATTTAAAAAAAATGCATTTAAGAGGTTTAAAATGAATTTAAGAAAACGATTATACATAAAATATAGTGCAATCAGTTCAGACATCGCACAGTGCTCATTCAATAAATGCACAGCTAAACAGATGAGTTTTGAGTCTGCATTTAAATGTGACTAATGTTTTAGCACATCTGATCTCTTCTGGAAGCTGATTCCAACTGCGGGCAGCATAATAACTAAAAGCAGACTCCCCTTGTTTTGTGTGAACCCTTGGTATTTCTAACTGACTCGATCCTAATGATCTGAGTGGTCTGTTAGGTTTATATTCAGTGAGCATATCTGCTATGTATTTAGGTCCTAGGCCATTGAGTGATTTATAAACGAGTAAAAGTACTTTAAAATCAATCCTAAATATAGCTGGAAGCCAGTGTAAGGACCTGAGGACTGGTGTGATATGCTCAGATTTTCTGGTTCTGGTCAGAATTCCACTGTCATATATATACCTACCACATAGTTATCCAAACAGAAGATCTCTTCAAATGAAAACGTCGTACAGATACATAATACTCAGCTCTCCAAATGAGTGACAGTCTGTTTCATTAGGCTAAATCCTGAACAAAACAAGTGGCTCTGAGTGTGAGGTAAGTTAGACGCTAAGTATAAATGTTATTTATACGTAGATATACCAAGTCTACCAAGGATTCATTACAGTGGTGACCACTAACCGAAAAAATGAAGTAGCACACAAAAACAGAGAACTGTTGTCCTTCCCAAACACGTCTCAGCAAACCATCCTACAAGAACCGGTGTAAGTACGCTGGCTCCTACAAAGCATGTGTTCACCATGACTGCTTGGTAACTGCTGTATCCCAGCTTGATGGTGCAGAAAAGGATCATATTGCAAACAATCCCAAAGAAGGTGAACCTCTCAAAAAGCTCCACGAAGAGTACCCAAACAATCACCTGCAGCTTCTTACGTGCCTTGCGCGGCTCGCTGACCATCCCACCGGGATATGAAGACATGCAGATCCCATGAGAGAGGTGGCCATCGTGTGTATCAACAGCATCTATGGGCGGCATGCTGCTTCTGGAGATCTTCCTGTGGAAGTGATGTTCAGACAATGCTGGAGCTCAATCTCCATTACTAGAGAGCTGGACTGGCAGTTCCTCACAAACATGTGAAATCTTGCCTAACAACAGAGCCTTTGCCAGCACGCCTAGGTTCACGTTTAGTGTCCTGACTGAGGTTTCTGAATAATGTTTACGCAATGCTTCTCCTCACTAATGTATTGAACTTCATCGGTCTCCGAATCTCATTAAGATGGATGACGTGGCGGCAGCGCGCAGAGCTACTGATGATGAAAGTGGTTTCAGAGATGTGAGACATACTTTTATAATGAATATTTTCGGAGAACCAGCGAAGGATATGCCATACTTGTGGAGAAAAGCAAGTTGAACTGGATTAGGTTTTGAAAACATTGAAATGATCATGAAATATATTCTTTTGTCTTGCAGTTTTATAAGGATTTAAGGATTTTTTTATGAGGCCAGGTTCCAGGTTTTAAAGGGATAGTTCACCCAAAAATGAAAATTCTGTCATTAATTACTCACCCACATATCGTTCCAAACTCGTAAGACCTTCGTGCATCTTCGGAACACAAATTAAAATATTTTTGGTTGAAATCTGAGAGCTCTCTAACCCTCCATAGACGGTCAAGGCCCAGAAACGTAGTAAGGACATCGTTAAAGTTGTCTATTTGACATCAGTGGTTCCACTGTAATTTTATGAAGCTACGAGAAAACTTTTTGTGTGCAAAGAAAACAAAAATGACGTTATTAACAATTCTTCTCCTCCACACATGCTTTCCTCTGAATGTAAACAAGGTACAGCGCATGCGTCATGATACTTTCCAAAATGGCACCAGGGTGGCGCAGAGGAGAAGAATTGTTGAATAAAGTCATTATTTTTGTTTTCTTTGCTCACAAAAAGTTTTCTCGTAGCTTCATAAAATTACGGTTGAACCACTGATGTCAAATAGACCATTTTAACGATGCCCTTACTACCTTTCTGTGCCTTAACCATGGTGGTACCCTTGCTGTCTATGGAGGGTTAGAAAGCTCTCAGATTTCATCAAAAATATCTTAATTTGTGTTCCGAAGATGAACGAAGGTCTTACAGGTTTGGAACAACATGAGACTGAGTAATTAAAGACAGAATTAAAATTTTTGGGTGAACTATCCCTTTAATATTAGGACCAGATGCCCCTGGACCCTTGTGGAGTCGGCCCTGTATTTTTTAATGTTTGTTTATTTATTTAAATGGTGTGAAGTTGAGGGACATAATGATATGTCTCTCAAATCCATTTCACAAGCATGTATCAACGTGGTGCTAGCAAATTAAAAATAATTAAATTTTTAAGGACACAAGGTGCCGCTAGTATATAACACCCCACTGAATGGTGGCCAAGAGGCAGTGCCAAATTAGTCAGCACATGAAATGCGAAATCCCAGTCAGGCCCATCTTGATGTTTGTCTTTTGAGGTAAGATAGGGGATGTATTATTATTATTATTATTATAATTAGGCAAGGCAAGTTTATTTGTATAGCACATTTCATACACAATGGTAATTCAAAGTGCTTTACATAAAAGAAAAGAAAAAAAATAATCACAACAATAAAACAAGGAATTTGAAAATGATTTAAAAAAAATGCATTTAAGAGGTTTAAAATGAATTTAAGAAAACGATTATACATAAAATATAGTGCAATCAGTTCAGACATCGCACAGTGCTCATTCAATAAATGCACAGCTAAACAGATGAGTTTTGAGTCTGCATTTAAATGTGACTAATGTTTTAGCACATCTGATCTCTTCTGGAAGCTGATTCCAACTGCGGGCAGCATAATAACTAAAAGCAGACTCCCCTTGTTTTGTGTGAACCCTTGGTATTTCTAACTGACTCGATCCTAATGATCTGAGTGGCCTGTTAGGTTTATAATTATTTGTATGATAAAAGTTGCTCAATATGGTGTTATCAAGATTGCTCTTTTTCAGAAGGGGTTTAACAACTGCAGTTTTCAGGGAGTTTGGAAAAGTCCCAGAAAGAAGTGAGGCGTTCACCACTTCTAAGAGATCTGCTTCCAAACAGTTAAGCACCCTTTTGAAAAAATATGTGGGAAGTGTGTCAAGATAGCAGGTTGACGATTTAAGGTGTTGTACTATTTCTTCCAAAATTTTGCTATCAATTTCTTCAAAAGCAGACATAGTATCTTCTTAATATAATTAATATTATTGTTGTTGATTGTTGTTGTATTGTTGTTGATGTTGTTCTTAATATATATTAGATGTATCATTTTTGGCATGTTGATATTGAACTGGTTAACTTAATTAAAAAGAAAAAAATTCT